GTAATATATTCCTGATATTTTCTGAATAGTGCACTAAGAAGAAACTGTTTTCTGCTCCTGAGTGCTCTATGAGATGATGGATGAGTTCACAACACCTGTTACTGCTACGTACATGGAAGTAATTTCCCCCTGCCTGTTTCACAGAAATCTGTTCTTTTCTCACAAAGTCAAACACTCTGCTCCTATTTCTAGTAAATATCTCCTAGATAAGCTTTGAAAAGGTTCCATGAGTAACTAATTAATATAATTTCTCTTTGTACGCCAATAAATTAGATTGTTGAAGAAAAGGAGGTGTGCAAGAAATTAAAATTGAAGCTGCTTACATAGATAGACAGACAGGCAGATAAAACTTGCCTAGATAGCTTTTCTCACACCGAGTTTTATTTCTCCAGTGCAGAGAGCTACCACTGAATCTGTGTCCTACCAAAGTTCGTTGCTCCTTCAGTTAAGGACAAAAGAGAACTTCTGTGATCCACAACTGTATGCTTTCTTCTGAATAGAACAGAGTTTTTCTCCTAAGGAGTCCTGAAGTTTTTCTGATTGCTCGTTTAATCTAAGAAAGTACTTACAAATGTCTGCATTTCCCTCTTCTAGATGTTTGTTTATTAGCAGAAATACTCACCAAAATAAATTTTTGTAAGTAATTATTAGGGAAAAGTCACAGGAAGGAATTTTATAATTCCTACAGTTCACTATTCATCTCCAAATGTGGTTTCTATTAAATTGTGGTCATCCAAACAGAGAACAGAAACATATGAGAGACTAAAAATATTCTGATTAATGTAATCAGGGAAAACAGTTTGCATTTTGAACACCCACAAAGACCTTAAAATGTTTCTGCTCACCCGAGTTGCTTTTGAACATGATGAAAATCACGAGTAAGGAGTAGCATATACTGAAATGTATTTTCATGCCACTACTTTCTATTACTGAGGCGATAAACATAACATGTAAAATATATATATGTAAGAAAACAAAACTAACAAGACATTTAATAGTGCAGCCATAACATAAGACTAAACAGGAATTGAGAATCAAATTATGGAAATAATTTAATAAATTAGAACTTTATATTTCAGCACTGTAATTACTTCACTGAAAAACCCAAAAGGTGAAGATCGCCAGATATATCAGATTCTCTTAATTTCTTTTACAGAACTACTGGGGAAAAGTCATAAAACTGTATTTTTAATGCCTTGGTTTTGCACATGTAAAATAATATAAAATTCATGAAAGTGGAGAAAATACACTGAAGCATCCAAAAGAATTTTAAATGTCTGTGATAGATCAGGAGGAATATTGGAATGACTGAAATGAAGACAAGTTTTAAAAGAGTGATTTTCAGATCAAAGAACAGAGTTTGTAAATCTCTTTCCACCTAAGCAAACCTCCAGCTGAAACCAACTGGACTACTCTCAGGAGAAGACAGATCATGTCTGGTAGGTGCCATGCCAGGGTCAGTGCCACGTTTGCCCCGGACTTTCGGTAGAACGAGGATCACGTCCCTTATTTGATGTGTGCTATGCTGAACATTTACCTTTTCTGATATGTATTGATAATAAAGGCAACCATATCTTGAGATGGCATAAAAAGGCAACAAGGACCGTACTGGATTAAGAAGAGCAACATCCAAAATGTTACAGGAAAATTACAAAATCCTGGCTGACCTCACTAAATTTACACCAACATATACAAGTCAGGGCTTAAAACTCTTTGAAAAGGTCACTGTTCATTTGCCAGTCCATTTCCAGAGCTTTTTTCTTAACATCCTTACGTACCCAAATAAAATGCCACTTGTGAAAATGCCCATGAGAAGATAAACTCTTTCTGACTCCATTTTTGTGGTAAACAGTTGCAAAACAATTTGATGTGCAAGAGTCAAAGGAGGGATTGTTGCCAAGCTTTTGAAATCAGGTACACTTTCTTTGAGGGACATTTGTCTGAGGGACAAACAAGGGACAGTTTCATCATACAAGAACTGGCAAAAAAAAAAGGACACTAAATGTTTTTCAATTAATTATCTTTCTGAAAGACCTGAGACAAAAAAGCATGTATGAAATATTAAAATAACTTTTCAAAAGCCTTGTCTTACCCTCTCAGGATGAAAAGAGGAAAAAAAAAAAGGGGGGGATGGGGGGGTGGTGAAAAACACTGAGATAAAAAATGAGTTTGTGATGCTTCAACCACAGTTAGGAACTGCTGCTCCCAGTAAGGTCAGTGGCTGCTTTATCAGGGCCTTCCATGAGAAAAGGTACAGTTCAAAATTCCTGGTCAAGCGAAGTATTTAGCGATAAACTCAGGTACTTCGTTTCAGTGGTACAACTCGTATGCCTCAATACGCACACCCTTATGTACTTTTTTCAGCTGGGGCCCAAACATATCACTGCTAACCATATAGAGCTGCTGGATCCCGGGCTGATATAGATTGTCCTGGAGTTTCCCTATGAGTTTCATCTCCCCCACTGGACTATGTATAAAGTACAGCAAAGAAATTCTGTCTGGTTATGCACCTGGCATACATTCCTCTATCCATGGAGACAAAGTATCAGAAAGGAAAAAACGAACATTTTTCAGTGACCCTGACATTTGATACTGATGCAAAAAAAGGAAAGGAATGATAGTGTTTGAAGCCAAAAGCATGAAGTTTCTTTATATTTCCTATGATTTAGTATCTCTCTCCCCCACATAAGGCAGATTCCTTTATAGAGACTCTTGTATATGGGCCAACAGTGCTCCAGCAATGTCTCTGATGACACAGTGGAAAGTTTCTAACCACAGTATCATTTGCAGCATTTCTCATTTATTTTATACCCAGTCCCCAAAGACATGCTTTTTCTGATGGAATAAATTATTTTTTTCATTTTTTATGAATAGAATTGAAAATCTATTTGATGGCCAAGTGAATTAGAATGGACAGAGAATCAAATTCTTTATGTTTGTACGAAATCTGTTATAAAAGCTGGCTTCCAGCTTTCAGTCTAAACAGATAAAAAATATCAGTGACCCTGAAAGAACACTCATAGTATCTGTTTAACCAGACTTGTAAATTAATTTTTTTCCCGTAATAAATAGGAAGATACACTCACATAGCATGTTTTGCCTTTAAAGCGTTTCATAGACATTGTAAGCCAATAATATTCATAGCATTGCTCTGAGGTAGCTTGGTACAGTTCACTCACTTTAAAAGTATAATTACAAGTATAAAAAAGAGGAAGAGACAAATGATTTCTGGAAGTCTTTGGTGAACAAATCTATATTATTTTACTTGCTGCATGTACCATAGACAAAATGGGTATTTATGATTGTGACTTATTAATTGGGTGAACAAATGTGTGACTTATACACTCCAGCATGGTAAATAAAGCATACAAAATCCACATGCAGTTCTTTAACAAGAATTTGGAAAATCAGGCCTTCCCTCTACAGCCTGCCATCCTTGCTACGAGAGGCTCTACAGGAGGGCAGTACTGCACAGACCAAGTGATAATTTAGGGTTCCTGGCTGTAAGGTCCGAGTCACTGCACAGTTTGCCACATTGACCCCATTTTCAGACCTGCTCTCTAGCTCTCGTCCGGGCCAGAAGAAGCCTGAAAAGCAGTTCAGTTTGAGCATGAACTAACCTGTCTGCCACTTTATCATCAAAGTCTAACCATCATGACAAAGTATATAAAATAGCATATGCTGCTTTACAGCCCTCTGCAAAATTTAAAGAGAAAAAACTCCCGCTGACTTCAAGAGGCTTCAGATCTAGCCCACAGAGGAATAACTGCTCTCTGATTTTCAAGGGACTTGAAATATCAAATATCATCTGATTATTCAGGCTTAAGTCTGATCTCACAAAGTGTATGCAGGCTTAATCTATTGGGCTACAGCTGTAAAGGCTCCCGGTGGCACCGCGGTGTGAGGAGAAGCCACACTGCACTCAGGCTGCTGTAAATGCAGCACGGTGTCACCCAGGGACCCGGCGTGCCCCTGAGCTTCCTTTGGCGGGTGTGAAAGCAGAACCTGACTCACTCATGGTAGAGCTGAAAATTCACCCACAGCTGCCCGCCTTTACAGTAATTATATAGCCATTTGACATCCTGTGAACAATATAGCCATTTGACATCCTGTGAACAAGTATTGTACGTCACAGCCTTAGAGGTGAGCACAATACTGTCTATGTATCATAATCCTGGGATATCAATGTTTAACCATGCTGTAAAGCTCTTTACTGAGAAAGTAGTGTACGCTTTCAACTAAACAGCTACAACCTGGAGCTAGTCTCCAGCCTAAGGACTGGGGTAATAAAATGTGTTTTTCTGACAAATCCCCACCAGAGTGGGGTGCTGGTGCTGTTACTCAGAGTGTAGAATCCCAAGCACATTCAGAAGCCTCCTTTAAGGAATTAACGCTTGCTTGTTTTGCCATCCAAAGAATGTTTACAGAAGCCAAAACAACCATGCTTGCTGTCCACTGTGCAAAGAGGTGATGACATCAAGAAGACAGGTCACAAGTCTGAGTTTATAGTCATTACACTTACGTTGGTATGGCTTTTCATCCACTCAGTATGATCTTATGACCCCACAACTTTACAACCTTCCACTCTCTGGGCTTCATAGCACCTCTCCACTCCAGGTTAATCATTTCTCTGCCATTATCTGCCAAGAGTTCTTATCTCTTTTGCTGTCACTTTATAACAGGGTCCTCTTATCAAGCTGTACAAGATCACGTGACGGTGCCAAACCTATCACAAGTTCCAATTCTTCTGATTAGAGACTATCATGAAATGGTTTACAGCAGGTCACTAATGCTGGAAAAAGTACAGAGTCCACTCAAAGACATGCTTGTTACTTTCTGAATTCTTGGATAACTTTTTTTGTTGTTGTTCATCACACCGACTTTCACTGAAGGTTATTATAGCCTGGGTTTCAAGGCCAGAAAAGTTTACAGGCTGCACCTCTTCTGTGCTCAATGCTGTACACCTTGCACCCAAGGGTACTGTATATTTACACCTAATAATGTCTTCTGGTTCCCACACAGCCATCATACAGGAATCTATAAAACATGGACTTACATCAGTTGGTAAGTAACAGTTTTCTAACTGTTTTGAAGACACTGCATAAATATTTTAGACTTGGGGCTGTCCAAACCAAAAAAATCATGACAATTGGGCAAGCCAACAAAACTGATTAATTTGCAAGTGTATTTAAGCAAAAAAGACCTTAAGTTACAACATAAAAATGTAAGAAAACTGCTGATGATTCAGTGAATAACACTTTTCTCCAGAGATAATGTGATTATCAAATATATAATCAGATAATTAATGGTATCTTTATCTATTACAATTGCTAATAACTGTGAAATTGTGTGTGTGCATGTATAAACCGTTGCAAAAAATTAGATTTAAATTGCTTCTGGCCTGACTATTCTTGTTGAAGAAAACCTCAGGAATGTTTTCAGGTCTTTTCTGTAATACACATGTCAAATGCTGATTCTTTTTTATAGCTGAAAATGCAGATATATCATCATTCAGTAGGGGTGGGACTGGATAATAAAAGTCAGTTAAGACTTTGGAGCAGCGAAGAAGTGAATACTTTTAATAGCATATGGAAACAGCACCCACTCCCTGTCAGAAAGCCGGCAGGCGTGGGTTACACTGGCTTGCAGGCGTGAGGGGCGTTGCACAGCCGGCTGCCCCGGGCTGCCAGGGCTGCGGTGGCTGTGGCCGAGCCCCAGCAGGTGCCTCTCCCTGCCACTTCCCTGCCCTTCTCCTCGCACTTCCTATCTCGGGTCATTCTGCCTCTCACCAGGCGCCGTGAGCAAGGTGCTTTTCCTTTGGCGGGGCGATAGCATCCCCTTCCCTGTCAGCCTGTTCCAGGGCTGAGCGGAGCTGGAGAAGGCTTGCCGAGGGAAACCTCTCCTTTGCAGAGCAAAAAGCTCCTCACAGGCTGGCCCAGCAGCTCTGCGGCTTCCACAAACCAGGGTTTTGCAAGCCTGTGCAAGGCTGCTGCCTCAGCGCAGCAGTTTATGGCAAGGATGAAGAAGGGAGCTTTGGCCTGTGTATGGGAACCAGGGCTCGCTCTCCTCCTCTTGCCCGATAGTGCGTCATCACATGGCAGGCAAGGGGCTCACCCTGGTGCTGGGTGTGATACGGGCACCTCACCATCAAAGGAGGCTTTGGGACCATGAGGATGGTGGGTGCAGTAGCAGCTGCAGGAAATAGCTGCAAACATAGCTGAAACCTGATCTGCAACTCCTGGGTGGAGCTGCTGCTTCTCTCCCAGGGAAGGGGAGGGTGCCCAGGGGAAGGGCTCCCACCTTGGACCTGGCTGTGTCCCAGGCAGCTGGCTCCCAGGGACTCCCTTCTCACACTCTTCACCTGGTGTACACCTCCTGCACAAGAACCATGCCCACCACCGTAGCAAGGTTTGGTGGGCTGCAAATGGGTGGCTGGAGGATTAATGCCCCATGGATCACACCACCACGCCCAACACCGCCTGCCTCCTGGCCAGCTGTGCATGGCACCAGCCCCACTCCAGGGTGGGCTCCTCGTGCGCCTCCTCAGAGGAAGCCATGTGGTCCCTGTGGCAGTGTTGTCAGGGTATCCCACCCACAACAGCCAGAGGACACAACGTGCTCCCAGGCTGTTGGACATGGCTGTGACCAGGGTCAGGCCATACTTGCTGGGCCGATCCCAGCCAAGCTGCAGAGAATTTAAAGCCAAAGACCTTCTGGTGTTTCTCTGCAGGTGTGGGGTGCTCCTCTGCCCAGCTCTGCCCCCAGAAACAAATGGAAAATGAGGACAAATCCAGCTTCCCAGCTGGTCTGCGATGTCTCGGGCCTTGCTCTCACTCTTGCTCTTTCTGGCTGCCAGGGAAGGAAAAGTGCGGGAGGAGCCTCTAGTCCTCTCTCCCCAGCCTTCAGCAGGGGATAGTAACATAATAATACACCTTACGTGTCCAAAGAGTGATCACTCAAATAAGGTTTCTTGGGGTGAAAGGATACAACCCAAGGCGAAGAGAAAATAAGACACTCTCATCTGCCATATGCAGACAAACTAAGTGCCATTTTTATGCTTTCCAAAAGACTGGCAGGTCTGGTGTCCCTAAATCGTGTGGATATGAGAAACAGAGTGGTGGGAAACATGTTAGCAGAGCACTCTTGTCACCATACCTCCAAAATGCACTTATACATGTGCTGTATGACAGATATACCAGGACAGAATCTCAAAGCAGGGCCCAGAAAAAGCAGGTCTAAATCCTGTGAAACTCTTCAAACTCCCATGTGCTCTGCGTCTTGGGGAGGATTCTGCCCTTGCATGACACTGCACAGTCAGAGCCCGTGGTGACATCCCTGAAAAGCACATCTAACTCAGCATTGTAAACTGCTCACCACGTACCTGTAAGGGTTAAATGTAAGCAGCACCACTCTGTGGGCTTCCACTTGGAGGTGGGGGAACAATTCAGAAGGAGCTGGATTCTGTTCTTATTTGCACTTGGAGAGTATATCTTTGGAAGAAAAAGCTGTCCTCCCAGGGTACAAGTACAATCAGCAGCAGGGCCAAGTGCTCTTAAGAATAAATCCTATCCGTGGACTTTCACTTTTGTCCAGTCCTTCCCAGCACAGCCTCTGCTTTTTCTTCCCCAAGCAGAGGTGGAGTTGGTGGGTTTGTGCCATGGACTCTGCAGCCCTCTGCCCAGCCCGCCCCTCAGGCCAAGGGCTTCCACCTGCAGTGGCTGAGAAGTGCCCTTTGTTAGGAAGCACCTGCTTTGCAAAGATGCACGCAGTGCATTCACCCATCTGGGGATAAGTTAGTTTTTTGTAGAAATCAGTGATATGTCACAGCAAGAATGACCTAGCTTTCTCCTAGCAAGGAGGGCCTCATCCAGCTCCCAGGAATGCAAATCAGACTCTACCAATTTAAATGGCAGTGGATCTGTCTCTTGGAGAGCAAACACCACCAGCCTGGAGCTGGAGTTTGAGTGGGCACTACCCATTGTTGACACCTGCTTTTTTGTTTACAGTCGTATAGTCAAAAAAGCAGCTGGAATTCACAAAGTTTTAATAGTACAACCTATCCTCCAGGTGAAGAATGTCATATGGACTTACAAAAATGTTTATGGAAGTGCCATGATTTTTTCTTCTAATAGATTCCAGGGCAATACAAAGCTACTTTACTAGTTTTATTTTTCCTCTAATCAACCTCTTGTCTTAGTGTCATCAGGGACACTATGCAGTTTTTATAAGTATTAGCTATGATTATTTAACAGAAACAACTGTTTCATTAACTTGAAAAAATGATTATATAAGAGGAAAAATAATCTACTTGTGGTTTCTTAGTGTGAAATTTTTCATCTTATCTAATACTAACTGCCATCTTAATTTTAATGTATGTCCTCAGGCAGTTGACAGTATTAAAATTAATGCTCTTGAGTTTGGCAAGGTTTGTTTTTCTGTAGTAGTAGTATTATTATTAGAATGCATATGTAATGACATTTCATATGATTAACAAAGACAGCAAATATTATCTTTAAAAGTTTGGATTAGGATTTTGGCCAGGAATGATGCAGGCAAAGCTTCCATAGGAGTGAACAGTTTGGGCTGTGTGAGCACTGCAAGACATGAGCCATAGGTCATTTTCTATAACTGAACTTTTTTTGCTGTTATTCTTTACTTTTATAAATTTTCTTCCCATTAAATACTTTTCCCATCGTTATACTGCGAATGAGCTACCTACAAAAGGGGCAGTATTTACATTTACACACGATTTTTTCCAGCTAGTCTGATTTTAAATACTCAAATACATGAGGCAAAGTAACAATGGTGACTCCTGTGGTCTCCAGAGGGAAACCTCCAAGGCTGACAAAACGCCTCCAGCCACTCGTCCGTGTGGGTAATTTAAAGGTCAGCTCTCAAACTTGTCTTTATATAGGGTGAAAGGGAAGAATTATCTGCAGCAGGAGTTGTGTTTGGCTGCGTTGTGGGGAAAACCGTTACAACTACTCATGCCAGATTATTATTAATGTCTAGAATTTACTCACATATTACACGAGTACTTTATATGTATTACATAGATATGCAACCTTATATATTAATATATATTAGTACATTATTATATACAATGAATAGACATGCTTACGTACACAATCCTTATCAAGATTTCTCAGTATAAACTATGCCTAGTTTATCTTCTCACGGTTTGTTTTATGATTCTGTGCTTATGTGTGGAGAAATCTTGTATGAGACAGATATATATATGAGCTTAAACTTTTTTCATTATAAAGATCAGCTATTAAATTATTTTTAAATAAAGTTTCCCAAGCTTCAAAACATAATTGGGGGAAGCAGAACAAAAACATCTCTTTTTTGCCACCAACAGATCAAGGTCAGTTGCCTCAGCAAAAGAAATTTCATTTTTAAGCCTGTCTGTGCAGGATAGAAATCAATTATCTCTTACGATACAGAGACCAGTGTTCAGCCCTGACAGGAGCCTTGCTTCATATACAAATATATTTGGAATTCTATTTCCAGACCAAGCTCTAGCTTTTTTAACTAGATGTTTCACGCTCGACTCCAAAAGGGCAGGACAGGCAAAAACAAAAGAGCCTCATCAGAAAAGTAAGCAATTATCAGTGTTGGAAAGGGGCGGTGGGTTCGCGGCGGAGGAAGGGGAGCGCTGGCACCGTCCGGGCTGTCCCTTCGG